GAGGCCATTCAGCTGTCTTCCCTTAGTTGGTTGCATATTCCACAATTGTTCACAATCAGTTAATTAGCTTTAAAGCCTATTTCAGTCATTTTCTTGTAATCAAAGTTGTAACAACAAGAAAATAACAACTCAGAACTTAATCTTGAATCAGGGTCTTTGCTGCTCGTTGTAGTAAATGAAGTGACGTGTTTATGATCTCTTAAAGCTATATATACATTTTTAATTTCATTTTACTCTCACTATTTATAGCCATGACATTCCAGCCTTTCCTAAATTCTGTATGCAGTTCACTCCATCTGCTGCCTTGCATCTTCTTATTTTCTGACCCTTTCAGAGTTATTCTAAAGTTTGTTGAAGAGCAGCGTGTACAGGAAATTGTCTGAAGATAGTAAATTTGGAGTTATATCTGATTTAATAAGCCACTGTGGTTGGACTTGTGGTTTATAAGTAAAGCTTTAGTGTTTCATGATGTGTGCACACTCTGTCTTCATTTGTCTCTCCTCTGCTATCTTTCTATCTTCGTGCTAGGCCTGCCTTCACTCTCTCAGCACCTCAGATTTAGTATAAGGAAATCTACTGAGCGATCACATCAGATGACAGGTCAGATTACTGGCAGCAAGACCCAATGGAATGAAAAGCAGATGATCAAAGCAAGCAGGGACAGCACAAACGGCTGCAACTTATCAGCTGGGAGCTGGAGACATTTCCAGTGCTCAAAGCAGTTCAGAAAGATAATCAAGAGACCACTCCTGAAGGTTTTAGAGGTCTGAGGTGTGAGATAAACTGAAGAGGCTTGGAGTATTTTGCCTCAAAAAGATGTAACTGGGAGGTAATCTTACAGAAATTTGGCATAGTATATTGCATGATAAAGATAAGTCTGGAATATTACTTCCTTAAAAAGTATCATCCAGGGAGTGTGTGCAACTCTGGCTGGGCCAGGGTTCATTGAACATCCTTAGTTGCCCCTAAGAAGGTGGTAGGGAACTGGCTATTTAAATTGATGCAGTCCATTATTGTATGTAGGTGTACAATGCTTGTTAGGGAGGGAGTTCCAGGACTTTGACTCAATGACACTGAAGGAATAGCAATATATTTCCAAATGAGGAAGATGAGTGGCATGGGCCAGAATTTGCGCAGTGCTCCCATGTATCTACTGCACATGTCCTAATAGATGATTGTGGTTGTGTACGTGGAAGGTGCTATGTAGTATCTTTGGTGAGTTTCTACAGTGCATCTTGTAGATGGTACACACTGCTGCGAATGTGCGTCAGTGATGGGGGGAGTGAATGTGCCAGTCAAGTGGGCTGCTTGATCCTGGATGGTGTTAGAGCTGCACTTATCCAGGCAAGAGGGGAGTATTCCATCCCACTGCTGACTTCTTCCTTATAGATGGTGAACAGGCTTTGTGGAGCCATCAGGTGTTTGTTTGCTGCAGGTTTCCTAGCCTCTGACCAGCTCTTATAGCCACTGTATTTACAAGTCTATTCCAATTCAGTTTCTGGTCAATAGAAACCTGCAGGTTGTTGATAGTAGGGAATTCATTGATGGTTATATCATTGAATATCAAGAGACAATGGTTAGATTCTTTTTTGTTGGAAATGGTTGTTGCCTGGTACCTGTGTAGCACATATTATTTGTGAAATTGTGTACAGGACAAGGGAGTACAATTTAAAGCTGATGCGTGCTTAGATTTTCATTTGAAGCTACAAGTCCTAAATAACTTTTGATTTTGCTGTGCCCATCAGAATTTAGAGTACCTGAATTGTTGGGCTAAGTTATTTGCATGATCTAAAAATAAATTCTTGGCCCAGCCTGTTCTCATGTGGTGAATTTGGGGATAATGGGGGAATTCGAAGAGAACCTGTATAATTGCAAATGAAGGTTGTACATTTCACTTGAAAGTGAATAAATTAGAGGATGAAGATAAACTAAATGTTTTCTTCCCCCTAATGGGACAAAATGCTTTTGAGGTGACGTTTGACCAGTATTGCTGGCAAGAACACAGTACTGTGGTTTATTCTGAAACTAATGAAATTCTGGATTTGAATTATGGCACAGCTAAAAATAGGATTGCACAGACGTTATACTCCATGAAATGGAGCAATTGCCAAGTGAGACTATTGAAAATGTAATCTGCAATTAAAGAAGTTCAGAGGCCAGTCAACCAGATTCCATGGGCGATCACCTTCTCTGCTTCCCCTTCTATTGGGAGTTGTAAATTAAGTTAGTTCAATAATGACTGTTTTAAGTAAATGTGTTAGCTTGACTGAGTGTGCAACACCAACTTTATTTACAGTTGAGGACAAGGCCTATTTCTGGGTCTTGACCTGCATGTGTTGGAGGTACACCAATGGGGAATCTTACAGCAGATGTCCAATGGTGTGTGTATTTGGGAGGTCAGAGGCTCAATAGGATGTCCACAGCAGTTTACAGATGGAAGAGGTAAGTGCTGCTGGGACAGGTATGCGAGTGTGAAAGCATCTGAAAATGGAGCGACTTTCTGCTACGTATGATTCTAGCTAATGGTAATACTGGTCTAGTTAGACTGCAGGATGAAACCTGGCTTGATTTTTTTTTTTGCAATTTGGTTCAGTCACTGACCATTTTCACAAGAGGCTGCCAGTGTACTTTTAAAAAAAAAACTTATGTTAATTACACATAAAGGGAAAAGAAGTAACTGTTTCACACTATATAAGAACTGTTTGAAATGGTTTTATGGGACCCTCTTGTGGTGCAGAGGGACCACTGAACTGGGAGACCTGGGTTCAAGTCCCACCTTTTCAGAGGTGTGTAATAACATCCCTGAACAGGTTGTTTAGAAAAATAGGTAAAACAGTTTTATTACACATACCTAGACAAAGATTCAACACTTTTAACCTCAGCAACCTTACGATTCTCACAGTTAAGTGAAGAATCACCCTGTTCTGCTGCTTATGGACCTTAGTCGTCCACACCATGGCAGGAAAAATAAACATAGGTTCGGAGCCTACCTCCCAGCTACTACAAGCCTCCAGACTCAGCAGGGACCAACCCAACACTAGTAAGTCTAAGTTGACTGTCCATCTTTGCCAGATTTGTAGCCTCTGTAATTGTAAGTCTGCCTCTGGCAAAAGGAATGGGAATAGGAGCATTTTCCAGGAGCTGACACAGTGTACAGCCTTCCACATTCCTCCCCCTGTCTCTGTAGGGCTGATAAAAGTTCATCCCTGCGAGAGGCAGCACTAACAGGCTTACTGAGCCACCTCAAACTGACAAAGCAGACATAATGTCAGCTTCCTAAAGATGGCCCCACTTTTTATTCATTTCTGAGAAAATTGAGACTGGGAACTGACTGCAAATGCTCCCTTGTGCTTTATCTTCATAGCTGTCATCACCCTGTGCCAGTGCTACTTGGAGTCATAGGACTGTCCACCTCAGGAAACCTGGATGATTTCCCTTTCACAAAATCATGCTGGGTTTACCTAATTGCCACTGACTTTATCCAAGTGTGCAGCTGTTACCTCCTTAATGGTTAATTCTAACACCTTCACCACAAGCATCAAGCTAACTAGTCTATTGTTTCCTCCTTTCTGCCTCGTGGAATACAGCAGTAATATTTGCCACTTTCCAGTCTGTTGGGATCTTTCTATAGCCTAATGGGATTTGGGTAATTAACACCAATGTGTGTCTTACGTCTCAATAACAACTCCTATTAAGAGCTATGAAGAATCTACCAGGACCTGGAGGCCTATAGATGTACTAGTCCACTCATTTCCCTAATGACTGCGATTTTACCAAGTTTCTCTTTGCAATGTCCAGATTTACAGGCATTACTGGGACTTTTTTTTGGTAACTTTCATTGTGAAGATAGAAACAAAATATTTATTCATTACAGTCATTTCTTTTTAATCCACTATTATCTCCATTCTCACCTTCTACAGGATCAACACTCCCTTTAGTTAGAGATAGTAGGAACTGCAGATGCTGGAGAATCCGAGACAACAAGGAGCAGGGCTGGATGAACACAGCAGGCCAAGCAGCATCATAGGAACAGAAAGGCTGACGTTTCGGGCCTAGGCCCTTCATCAGAAAACTTTAGTTACTCGGTTTTTTTTAAAATACATATGGAAACTCTTGCTATCCACTTTTACATTTCTAGTTAGCATTGTCTCCTGCTCTAAATTTAATTCTCCTGATTTAGTCATTTTTGTGTTCTTTATATTCTGACCAATCATCAGACCTGCCAGTCATCTTCACAAAATTATATGCTTTTTGCTTAAGTTTGAAGCATTCTTTAACTCCCTTAGAATTTTTCTTATAATACTTATTTTCGGTATTCTGAAATATTCCTTGTAGTATCTGGCACATTTATACTGATCTATTTCCTAGCTTAATCCCAGTTCACTTCAACTACCCCATCTTTCATGCATGTATAGTTGCCCTTGTTTATGTTTAAAATACTTGTCTTACACCCAAGCTAGATCTAAAATTCAGTTATTGTGGTCACTGCTACCTAGGAGTGTACCTTTTTTAATTTGAGGTCATTAATGTCCCAAGTTGAGATGTTGAAAAAGATTGTACAAGGTAGCACTACTTTTATACCATATTTGTAATGCCAGCTTGAAAGAATGTTGAAAGGAATATTGGATAAATATTTAAAGGGTTAAAAGCTGCAAAAGGGCAACCCACTGTGGTTTATTGGACTCTTTCAAAGAGCTGGCCCTGGCACAATAAATGAGCTCTCTGTCTGGTGCATAATTTTATGTTTTTATTATTTAAATTTTATGTTCAGTTTAGCTGTAATAGGTTGGAAATATCTTCTATATTTATTATGGATAAAATGCCATCTATTATCTGTCCTCCTTTCAGAGATAATGTCCTGCATGGTAAGTCCGAGTAGAAATACTGCTTTCAACATTAGCTTGGTGATATTATTCCCACTTCTGATTCAGAAAGTTGTAGTTGTAAGGTTCACTTCAGGACTTAAGGATACAGTCTGCGCTGATATTTCTATGCATCAATGGCTGCAATGCACTTTGGACATGCTGAAGATATTAAATATTCTCTAAAAATGCAGGATATTCAATTTTACCCATTGGTTTCAGATTCTCCACTGGGCTGCATATTCTACCATCCCCAGGTACATTTTCTGAAAAGGACAGCTGAACATGCGATTTAGACCCAGATTTTCCTGTTTGGAGATTATTGCCCTACCATTCCATCTGATTAAGAAAAGAACCTGTACTGCTGTGAAACACTGAGAGAACAATCTCCCTTTTTCATTGGTAGCTTCTTACACTAACACTTTGTACAAGTTGGTGTGAGGTTATTTTTGTAACTTAGTGGCTTTGTTTTACTCTTTGGTCACTTTTATTTAAAGTGTGTCTGAGAGTAGTGTTATACAGCCTACATTAAAATGTTATTGGATGGTTTTAGCCTGCATGATCTGTGTATATAGTGAAATACCATTGTGATTGATTTTCAGTGGTAATTATTGATACAATGCTGTGAGTGAAGCTTGCGATGCATTGCAATTCCATGTGCAGGAACTTTCAAACAGACCACAAGATTTGTTTTTAAAATATGCATTTTGTTTCTAATTACTAATAATCATTTTATCCCTCTGTTAACATTTAAATGGATGTGAATTTTCTAAGGCCTTGAATGAATGAATTCAACAGGTAAATAACGGGGCAAACAGAAAGGAAACGGGTGACTGTTGACAGAATATGGTTCATAGTCTTCTGAATACATGTGGGAGTTTTTCCGATAAAATTATAAGTGCTAGAATAGAAACAGTTCATATGCTTACAAAAGGATGTCGACTTCCCTAGCTTGTATATATTTTGCAGCTCCTGGCAGTGAGCTTTGCCGGGAATTTCCACCACAGCATTCCTGATCAGTTCCTGTAACTTCACCGGAGTATGAGAATTCCAGATCAATGCATGAATAGAGTTGTAGCTCATTTCCATACACAAACCAGCCTCTGTGTGAAAAAGTTGCCCCTCAGGTCCCTTTTAAATCCTCTCACCTTAAAAATATATCCCCTAGTTTTGAACTCCCCCACCCTCGGGAAAAGATCTTTACTATTCACCTTATCTGTGCCCCTCATGATTTTAAAAAGCTCTGTCAAATTCCTGGTGAATCAGTAAATACAAAGAGCACATGCGAGGAAAGTGGACATGGAAGTCAGTGTGTTGTAACAAATATACTGAGCTCACTGTTGGGGGTCTGATCTGTAAAGTCTAACCAGAATTTTGCTCTGGGAGCATTTTAAGTTTCTTGTGTTATTGCTCGTGGACTGTTGATTTTTTTTTTACAAATTTGTGTGCATCTATGCAAGATGGTAATGCTGTGCAGTGACACTGATATGGGCAATTTACAATGGCAATGATAATTATTGACCAAAAAGGGTGACTAGAATCAAGGACAAGACTTCTGCATGGGGGAATGCATAGACTATGCAATTTATAAAATAATATGTAAATGACAAAAGTTAATTTTACTGTTACTTGATTTTAGGCATGTGCACATCGTTGGAAGAATATACACTATGAGTCAGATCACATCTTGCCTCATGGAGCCTGCTACATCATTCCACCTAATTTGTCCAGAAAAACTAAAGAACTGCTCCCCTGCTACCAAGGTAAAAGTTCCTGGTGTAATTGCTGGCCATGGAGAGACTAATTCAGACCTTGGGTTTAGAAGAGTTGGTATGTTTGGTAGCGATTCTCCAGATACCCAGTTCTCAGTCATCAGGTATGAGAATGGATACCTTTTGTGATCTTTTAGCTGGGTGTGGACTCTCGGGTGGGACTGATGACTGCTGATTTTCAGACTCCAAAAGACAAAGTTTAATGCTGTTGTTTTAGGATTGCCTGTGTCTGTGTGAGCCTGTTCCATATTACTAGAATCAGAACAAATTTCATCATAGAATCCCTACACTGGGGAAGCAGACCATTTGGCCCATAGAGTCCACAGTGCCCCTCTGAAGAGCATCCCACCCAGACCCACTCCTCCTACCCTGACCTTGTAACCTTGCATTCCCCATCGCTAATCCACTTAGTCTGCACATCCCTGGACACTACGGCCAATTTAGCATGGGCAAACCACCTAACCTGCACATCTTTGGGCTGTAGGAGGAAACCGAAGCAGCTGGAGGAAACCCATGCAGTCACAGGGAGAACGTGCAAACTCCACACAGTCGTCTGAGACTGGCGCTGTGAGGCAGCAGTGCTAACCACTGAGCCACTGTGCCACCCCATAATTTGTATGCACTGAAAATGTGTTTCAATTTAAAAATGAACTTCATTGCTCTGAAAATTCTGCATAATCATTGGCGCTATAAGAGTTATCTACAGACTTATACTTAGAAAATGTAGAGACCTTTTTGTGAGCATTATGCCTTGATCTTAACATTTGTACTGACAATGTCACAGGACAAAATGTTTGCTCTGGTCTGCATTAAATTATTATAATAAATGTACAGGGTACCTACTCTTACTCTCCAACTGTGACATCACACCTTTGGGTCTAGGCAACACACAGTGCAGGAATATTTTTTACCAGGCCTGCATATTTGGAAATTACCTTTAATAATGCTGCTGTATTATTGGTGGTTTGATCTTGTTCTCTGATGGCTGTTCAGATATTGATACAATGCAAGAGAAGACACTTAAGTAACTGTTAAACTATGTTTAAAGTTAAAGTGTGCATAGTGATAAGGCACTGTAACAGGAGACTCTGAGCTGTACAGAGTCTAGCCTTTTACTACAATACCAACACATGACCACTAAGCTCACAGTGCCATCAGAAACCCATCCGCACGATCATCAAATCCTATCACTGCAAATGAATCCTTAAATAGAACACGCAAGACGTGTTATTTATTGACAACTTGAAATTTATGCAAAATCCCCACAAAGGTGAACTGACCTGTTGGGCTTCACAATCAGTACAACCGGTGCTGCCCATTCTGTAAGCCCTGGACTGATTTAGTAATTGCTTCACTTTCCAGCCTTCTGATTTCTATGTCTACTTTTGAATGTAAGGCAAATGGCACTGGATGGGCCTTGCAGGATCGTAGATTTGCTTCCTGGTCAACATGCAAGGTGACCATGGCTCCTTTAATAGACCCTAGACCTTCCTGAAAAACCTCAAAGTATTTACTTAGGACTTCACTGAGGCAGCCATCTTCTAATCAAAAAAAATGTTGAGCCAGTCTGGGTGAATCTTTCTCAACCAATTTTGTCCCATCAAGCTTGGGCCGGAGCCTTTTACTACAGTCAGTGGTATCTGAACCAACTGTTTCTCAGATGGGACCAGAACTGAAGTTGTCCCCTTAATCTGTGAAGGTTTCCCAATATGGGTTCTTAGTCTTAGCCAAAGTCTCGCGCAAAGCTAAGGGAATTGTGTTAAAGATTGGTTCTGAAATCACTGATATAGTGGCACCAGTATCAAGCTCCATTAGAACTGGATGACCATTTAACAAGACATTTATTTTGATTGGTTCTGATTTGGATGTCACTAAGCAATTTAACTGATCCAAACCAGGTGGGCTTTCCAGGGTATGCACTGTCCTGGAAACCGGCCTATGAGTTCCCTTACTCAGTTTAGGTCTAATGGGACTGTTTTGCTGTCTCGAGTCCCCATACTGGCAGCAACTGCAATGGCCTGGATCCTGAAGAAAATGTTAACCCTTTGGCTGACGCTTCGCTTTGTTTTGGGGTTTTGCTGTGGGCTGACCTAGACTCGCTCTGTTCAGGATATGTCCTGGGTGAGGCTATGCAATTGCCTTCACTCAAGTGGTGTTCCCCATGAGCTTGGACGGCCTGGCAAGGGTTTCTACTTCTATTGGCATAACCTTTACCTCTAATGCTCCACTTGCCGCATTTTGTAATGACAAAGCCAGTTGTAGTTGCCTGTTTGAAGTTCATTTGGGCTTCAGCTTTTAGGCACTTTTACACGGCTACATCGTTAAGCCCCCATCCAAATGGTGTCTCAGCACCTCATTAAGGGTTAAACCAAAGTCACATGCCTCTGCCAGTCATCTTAATATCATCAAAAACCTCAACACGGATTCCCCTGGTTGTTGAACTGCTGAGTAAAACCGTTAGCGTCTCAGAATTAGAGGAGGCATGGGGTTGTAATATTCTTCAGCCAAATCTATCAACTCTTAAAAGGTTTTAGTATCTGGTGCCTCAGGAAATGTTAGGCTCCTTATAACCAAAAATGCTGCGGGTCTCCAATATCATTTGTCTGGGAAAACAATGCACATATTGTGTGCAGTCTTCAGTGGCAGGATCAAAGGAGTTGAGCTTCCTAAATAACAGCATGATGCCAGAAATGCTTATCTCAATTCAAAATGACTGTAGCGAGCAAATTTCTGCAGGAGCATTTTTTTACCCTTGTCACTACTGAAATAACTCCACAGAGGCTGTCTCCTGTCACCAGGTCACCTTTTATTTACATGTGCATAGCACTAGACAGTGATCTGGCTTCTTCAGAGCCAACTCTGAGTGAACAGAACGTCTGACACTCCTATTTATATCTGTTAGCCAGGGCTCCCTGATTGAGGCTGTTAACCTGGTCCAATTAGGGTACTCCTATTCTATGAGGTCTACCTGCCTGACCTCGATACAATCACTACTGGATTAAAAGTGCTATGGACTGACTTGATGATAATAATCTTACTTCACTATCCAGGGCTGATTGTTGCTATGGTTTTGAACCAGAGAGTCTGATTTTTAGACCTGACTGGCAGTAATATTGACTGAAAATTAGACACGAAATATCGCCAAGTAAGTAATACCATATAAATAAAATCACCATGCACTCCAATTCCATATTGAGAGCATTTAAATTGCTTTGTTCACATCAGATACAATGTCTTTATGTTTGGCCAGTGTGGTTGTTCTTCAGACAACAGTACAGGATTATCTCACTAGCAATAAAATGGGAATGCTCATTCCATTCCAGACAGATTAATTGATCACATTTCACTACAGGCAAAGAGAAGTGGAAACATCAACACACACTGCACTATACACAGTGGATTAAGATAGGCAGGAAATAGAGATGCTATAGGCCCCATCCGGATCCTACTTCCATTCCACAGTTGCCATGTTCCATTGGGGTTTATGCCTTACTAATCCATTAACCTGCAAACAGGAAGGCTTATTATGTATATGTGCAGCATTCTAATTAAGCTGATTTTGCCCACCATTAATGTCGAAAGGAAATAGCTTTAAGTATTGATATTAGTATCTAAGAATTATAGAATGGTTGCAACAGCTGGAGATGATTCCATTCTGCAAGAACAATTTTGTGAAACCCATTCTCTCCACTTTTCCCTGCAGTTCTACAGTTTGTTTCCGTGTAGGTGTTTATCCAAATCCCTTTTGGAAGCTAAGATTGAATTTGCCCTTCAACACCCTTTTCAGGATGTGACATCCCGATATTAACTGCTTGCTGCAGGAAATATTTTTCCATATTTCACCTTTTGGTTCTTTTGCTAAACATTTCCAATCTGTTGTCTGGTCCTCAAACTTACTATCAAAGAGAACGGTTTCTCCCTATCTACTCTGTCTGGATCCTTCATGATTTTGAACATTTTCTATTTAATCTACTTGTAAACTTTTCCTTTCTGAGGAGAAGTCCCAATTTTTCCAATATATTGATAGAGTTGAAATCATTCATCCCTGGAGTCATTATTAATGAGCTTTACCACACCTTTCTCTAAAGACTTTACAATCTTCCTAAAGTGGAGTGCCCAGAATTAGATGCATTAGTTAAGACTTAACCAATATTTTATAAAGCTGTGTCATTCACTTACTTTTATATTTTATGCCTCTATTTATAAAGCCCATGATTTACTTCTGTAAGCTTTTTATCAATCTGTACTGTCCCCTTCAATGATTTGTGTATTTCTTTTAGAATTGTATCTTTTAGTTTATAATGCATCACCTTATTCTTCCCATGAAATGTATCAATTAACTTTGTTTCAGTCACCCATTCAACTAGCCTGACATTGTTCTCCCAAAGTCTGTTGCTGTAGAGAGTAATGATGTTGAAAGGGTTAATTTTAGACAGCATTGAACTACACCAAATTGGATAATCCCATACAATCCATCAGAATGCTCATTGATCTAATGCAACTCAACAAGGTGGTAGTGCGGGAAATCCATCCCATGTCCTACATTGAAGAGAGTTTACCCAAGTTGTCTAAAAGTCAAGTTATCACTAAAGTTCATGCCAATATTGGGTTCTGACAGGTAGAATGAGCTCTGAAGTCAAGACTACTTAGTACCTCTATCACACCATTTGGGAGATTTTGCTTCAAGAGATTTCCATTTGGAATGCTTCAGTTATTTTCAAAGAACTTTGCCCAATATTTTGAGATAACACAGCGTGGAGCTGGATAAACACAGTAGGCGAGGCAGCACCAGAGAAGCAGGAAAGTTGATGTTTCGGGTCGATGATGTCACCATGTGGATGAAATATTGATACATGGGGAGACAGATGAAGGATAAGACCAGAGTGTTGACATTTTGTAAAATGCCTGCAAGCTAAAGAGCTTATCCTCAATAAAATGTATGACTGAATGTTGCAAGGTATTTATTTGCTTCTTGTGACGCGGAATTGACAAGGATGGAATAATATTAGTCTCAGAAAAAGAAGGCTGTTAAACAATTTTCTGCTTTGAAATTATTTTATGACCTGTGAAGATTTCTAGGCATGGTAACACAGTTGGTGAAATTTTTGCCTCAGGTAACAACCATCACTGAGCCCTCAAAGCAGTTTCTCAAGAAGGTGCAAGGTGGTGCCGGGACTCCCATCAGGACAGTGCTTTCTAAAAGATTAAAGACATGCTGATATCCACAAACATCCTGGTCCACTACAATCCAGCTTTTCCAAATGCCTTCACGTTGGATGCTTTAGCTGTAGACTTTGGAGTAGTGCCTTTTCAGGAGCAGCTGGAATGATTTCAGAAACTAGTGTATTGTTGTTAGACACCAATATGTGGTTTGTGGAGATGCAAGAATAGGCATAGTCCTTAAATGTACATTTTGTTCTGGGTTTTTGTGGGTGATGCAAGAAGATGACTCAGCAGATCTGTCTCCTTAAAAAGAACCTTGCCCACCATATTTTCCTTTTGGAGAGGTGAAAGTTGGGCCATGGGTGAGGTTGGTGTTGGTGATAGCTTTCCATTCTCCCTGACTGGCCTCTTCGACAAAATATTAATGATAAATGTAAATAGTCAGCTGAAAGGGAAGACATTTTTTTACAGAAATAATGCACTCCTTGCTGATGGACGTATAATTTTCTTCCCATCATTTGTAAGGATACCTTTGTTACAGGTATCAAGTAAAAGCACAATGTCCTAAGACAGCCCAGATTATACTTTCATGTGGTGTCTGTTCATTACGAATTATTACTTTTAAAGAGTGAGATGACCTCCATATCTAAACAGCCTGTGCTTCCTGTCTAGATTCCCATTTGCTGAACAAGGGATGTGGTGCCTTGGAAACATCCAATAAAATCACTGCAAACAGAAATAACAATGAGACAAAAATATACATTAGATTGAGCAAGAAACTGTCTCTCTGTCTGAGACCCATTGACTACTGCATAATTCAATTTTTTTTTTATATTTGACTATTTAAATTGCTCACAAAGTGAGGTTAGGCTGGAGTATCAAAACTATAGGTCATTTTCCCGACATCCATCAAATGTTGCTAACATGCCATTGGGGCCACAAGGAGGTCTTTATTTGGCCACTTAAATGGTTCATTGGGCTTTGAACTAGCCAGTCCCCTCCCCCTTTCACCTGAAATGGCATACAGTGGCAGGAAAACAATGGTCCTGCCACCCTTTGCCTCCCTGCAATACTGAGCTAGCCATGCCACCTTCCAGCTTGCCCCCAAAGTGCTGGTAAAAGTGAGCCTAAAGTTCTTGCTACATTTAACACAGACTTTTTCTTTCAGGGCTGCATGGCATGTACCTCTGATCGTCAGTGATACAAATTGAAATAAGAAATTCTGAAAGGTACTGACAGCAATTTCCAGTAAAGGCTCTCACTAATAAATTGTGGATTCTTTTTGTGTAGAGTACAAGAAAAAGTATGGTGAGGAACATGGCTCTTGCCAGGCTGGTATAGCAGGTCACTTCTCTGGGGTAAGGAACAATTTTTACTGAGATCTATTTTGTAGAATACTGTATAATGTCAAGTTCAATGCAACTATTTGTGGGAATTTGATGCAATGTGAATATTATTTTTCAATTGAATTATGTTATAGGAATAAAGGATCTGTTTTGATTACTTAAATCTTTCAGCTGAAAACTTATTCTTGCTTCCCAGAAAGTTCTCATGGTTTATTTTCTTTAAATTTACCTAAAGTTCTAATTATTGGCGAGAATTTTAAAACTGAAACCATGTGTTGCTATGATGGTAACTTTATTGGAATCCTTATTGTGTTTACAGCTAAATGTCTGGAACAGAATTGACCAGTCAAAGAAATAGATGCCTACTTAGCCTGCTCCTCTCACTTAAAAGACCTCCTCCTCATGAGATTTTATTTGTGTTAATTAATTTGTACTCTGAAAGTCTTTTGGTGCTTTCAAAATGCACGCATGCTTTGCATCAAATAAGAGTTTCAGTGAGTGATTCTTGTGGCTTTCATAATCTGAGAGATGTAGAGATTAAGAAATCTTTAATTCGTGATATCTTTCACTAAGACTTATAAAGGGAAGGAATATGTTTGACCTTTAGGCTTTATTTCCATCTGAACTGAGTTCTGATAGGATCTCTGAGTGATTCTGTTGAGCTGTCTTTTCTTTTTCTTACAAATGAGCTTTTGAAAGCACTCTCTCTTTCTGGCTGAGATGTCATGCCCACCATATCCTTTCACAATACATCTTGTATGCTAGAATTATCTCATATGCTACTATTCTTCAGGCCTCTGAACCAAGCTGTCTCAATAATTAGGACCTGCTTCTTTTGCAAATTCTACATGTTCCTAATGAAAACTATTAATCACCTCATCTACTGAGACAGCGTTAATTCTGACCAGCTTTTGTACTGTATCTAAATTCAGTGTTTTAAAGAATGATTCATACATAACTGACAGGGGTGGCAATCCGCTATGGAGAGTCCTTTGTGTCCAATACATCATCTGTCATTTTACAGAGTGGAATAACTAGGAAAAGTCATCTTAATTCTTGGAACGTGTACCCAGTTGAATCTTCAAAGCCTCCTTCAGGGCAACAACCTGAAGAGAATAAAATGTGTAGAGGTATGAATGCATGCAAATTAATTTAAAGTAGACATACAGGCTTTTGATGGAGAAGGAATTCCTGGCAGAGCCTCAGGATTGCACTCCAAGAGGAAGATTTTCTACGGATGGAAATTGAACCAAGAAATCAAGGATATCTGCAAAGCTATTGGAAGTCCAGCTTCATTGCATCCACTTCACCTAAATTTAGGTCTGACCTTCACAAGGAACATAGAAAGTTGCAACAGAGAATTTGTTGGCAGGTATTTTAGTGTCATGATTTTGTTATTGGATTAATAATCCAGAAGCTGAGAGGATTGATCCAGACTTGAGTTAAAATCTCAATATGGCAGCTGACAAGCTTAAATTCAGAGAAATGGGAATAAAGAGCTAATATCAATAGTGGTGTCCATCTGCCTATTTGATTACTATTAAAATCTATTTGGTTCACAGTGTGAGCTGACTTGGAAATGGTTTCTTTTTTCATATACTGTTCCAGCATTATCATTCTCTGGTACTTGCACGATATGGTACAAAGTTACAAAGTATCTGTGACAATGCTATTTATAAAGCAGTTCTAGTTAAGATTTTGGTCAATGTTAACCCTGAGGATGTTGATGGTGTGGGCTTCAGCAATAATAATGTCATCGGATGTCAAAGAGAGATGGTTAGATTCTCTCTTATTGGAGAATGTCCTTGCTGGTCATTTTTGTGCTGTGAATGTTCCTTAACATTGGTCAGCCCAAGCCCGAATGTTATCCAGATTTTTAGCTATGAGACACAGACTGCTTCAGTATCTGAGAGCTGTGAATAGCCCTGGATTCTGTGAACTTGTCAGTGAATAGTCTCATCACCTGAGGTTGGGGAGAAGCAGCTGAAAATGGTTGGGTCTAAGACACTACCTTAAGGAACATCTGCAATGATGCTCCAGCCTGAGATGATTGCTCTGTCATTAAGCACAGTAACCTTCGTTTGTGCAGGTTATGACTTGAACCGATGGTAAGTTTCCCCTTATTCCCATTGGCTTCAAGTTTGTTAAAACACTTTGGTTCACACCTGGTTAAATCTCAAGGGCTGAGTGTAACCTTACCTTTGACCTTGTTATGAAAGGAAGATCATTAACAACGGAAGATGAATGTGTCACATCCACTGCTGTGCAGAACTCCTGCAGCAATGTCCTGAGGCTGGGATGATTAGTCTCCAACGTAGACAATAGTCTCTAATCACTGGGGAATTTCCTCTTGATTTTAATTTTCTTCAGTTGTGCTCAAATTTCTTAACTGTGCACTTGAACAACTGTCTCCTTCATGTCAAGGGCAGTCATTCTCACATGATCTTTTGAAGTCCGCTTTTTTGTTTACATTTGGACAAATGTATCAGTGGGATTGGATCAGGGTGGTCTTGGTGGGACCCAAACTGATGAGTGGTTACTGCTGTGTATGTGCCACTTGGTAGCATTTACAATGATATCTTCCATCAATTTGCTGATGATTGTAACAGGTGAAGGGTTGGTCAATAGCCAGATTGGATTTATCTAATATGTGTTGGATAGGACAAACCTGGGCAATTCCACTTTGTCAGGGAGATGGATATGATGTAGAACGGCTTGGCTGGGGGCACGGCTAGTTCTGGAACTCAGGTTATCTGCACTGCATCTGGGATTTTGACAGGGACCCAAGCTTTTACTATATCTGGTGCTTCCAGTCATTTCTTTCTATAACGTGAAGACTATCAATTTGACTGCTTTTTTATGCTAGGGGACTTCAGGAGGCAACCGCGATGGGTCATCTACTCTGTAATTCTGGCTGAAAATGGTAGCAAGAACTTCAACCTATTGCGCTCAGCCACAGCTCCATTGTCATTGCAGATGGACATTATCGTAGCATTTCCTCCTGGTGTTCAATTATCCACCGTCTTTAATGACTGGATGTGTCAACACTACCAAACCTTGATGTAATAAGTTGGTTATGTGATAGCTTAGCTCTGCCTACAGCATGTTGCTCCAGTTTTATAGCACTCATGCCACCCTGTGTTGTATTTCATTTTTAAATGCTTCCCAGAACTCCTTACTGAACTAGAGTTGGTCCCTAGGCTTGATGGTCATGCTGGAGTGAGAGATATACTGGACCATGAGGTCGAATTTAATTCTGCTGCTGTGTTGTGAATTGCTAGACCTGTTCTGAATCTATTCCATTGGTATAATGGTAATTTTACTTTTTGTTCATTCTTTCGATGCGAGTATCTGTGACAAAGCTGTCAATTTGTTGCCCATTTGCAACTGTCCTTGAAAAGATGGTACTGAACCACTCTCTGGGCAGCCCTGGCTATATAGAGACATTCACTGTGTGGCTGTGATGAGAGTTTCAAAATTTGTTTATGAAGGAACACTGATTTAATTCCGAGTCAAGGTCTGTGATTTTGAGGAGAACTTGGAGGTGGTAATGTTTCCATCTGTCTGTGACAGCTGATCATGGAATGTCTTCCCAATATGAAGATAGAATTTTTTTTTTCCACAAGTACTGTGTAGTGGTCACTCGTACCAGAACTATCATCTGCAACAGGTAGATTAGAGGAGTAAACTTTTCACTCTCAGTGGCTGTGCACACCCAGTGTAGCAAATATATCTTTAAAAGTTCTGCCAGCAGTCACTCAAAATACTATAAGTCTTGGTGATAAGCATTGAAACCCCTCCTGCTGAGAGAGTACATTCTGTCTGTGCTTATCCTGATGCTGTTGCAGTTTCTGGGGTCTAATCATAAATTGATCATTTTCTCTTTCCTAAATGATGATTTACATTTTATCTCCGGTTTTCCTGTTTTTCCACATATTCTGTGTGTTAGCACATAGTTCCTACAATGATTTGAGCACCAGACTGCAAGTTAAGCCAATTGACCCTGTGTCCAGTTGCCTTTCAATGTACTTTGAGTTGTTGGTATCTGGACTGTGAATCCACCTCAATTAATTGGTTCCAGTTGTCTTCCCTGACCCGTGCTGAGAGTGGAAGAGCTTTGGCAAACATTATGAATCAATGTTTTGTGCAACTATATTAACTAAATTTATTTAACTCCCCCAAAAGACTAATGCAGACTCTCAAAACTATGCTGTATGTTGAAATCAGAAATTTAGAGCACAATACTGGCTGGGAACTTGCTGAGAGGAACAAAATGTTTGTACAACTTCGGCTTTTTTTTTTAAATAGATGACTTTTAGTTTGCATAAGGAATATAGCGCCTATGGCAACAGAAACACAACAAACGCCCTTGTGGATCACTGACTGCACAGACCACTTTGTTAATCTGAGACAAATAAAAGGCTTGTGCCATTTTGTGGTTCCCAGAATTTCAAAATAGTTACATTTTTTCACACAAAACACTGGAGCATTCTTTGAATGTATTTTCCAGGTTTCGCCATATGTTGTGGACTGACATGTTGTTTGGTACCTAACTATAATGCAGTACTGAGTGATGCAGCATTCCCTTCGTAAATAGTTGTTCTTTTAAAAAATTCATTCATGAAATGTGGGCATTAGTAGATAGGCCAGCAGTTCTTGTCTATCCTTAATTGTCCAGAGGGCAGTTAAGAGCCAGTTGTATTGCTGTGGGTCTGGAGTCACAGATGGACCAGACCAGGTTGAAAATGTGGGTGTTGAGAACTGAGCAGTATAGTGATGGATAAGGAAGAGGTGCTGATAAGGCTGGCAGCATTCTAGGTAGAGAAGTCACCAGGCCTGAATGAGATGCGTCCTAGATTGCTGAGAGAGGCAAGGGAGTAAATTGTTGAGCCATTGACAGAAATCTTACAGGCGTCTCTGAGGACAGGATTAGTCCTGGGTACTGGAGGATTGCAAATGTAACACTGTTGTTTAAGAAAGGGCAAGGGATAACCCAGGAAATGACAGACCAG